CAGGAGAAAATAAAATGTTCTCATGGTCAAAAGTTTTGAGAAATGAATTTTTCAGAATCTCTAATGTATTAAGATATATTGTAAATCTCTAGTGGAGAAAAGTATGACCATTTCCAAAATTTATTTGGCCTCTGTACCATTTGGTTTTTTTGCATATCTCACAGGATTAATATTTCTACAGCATGCCTTTGAAACATGTAGCCTCATAAATGAAAGCACCTTATCTTGAACTTAATAGGTACTCTACAAATATTTGTTGAATGAATGGGTAATTGACCTTAGTTAACAAAGAACTCTCCCATAAAAGTACCTTGCCTAAAGAAAAGAGAAAATGACAGGAGAGAAAAACAGCAAGTGAAAAGCAAGTACAATGTCTTTAGCTATGCAGTAAGTGAAGAGAGGAATATTTTTGACAACAGAAAAATAATTTATTACCCCAGCCACTTTTAACATGTAGAGGACATAATTAACCCAAACCACATAGGAATTCCTGTTTAGAAGGTCCATCCTGAGGTGACATTTTGAAACACTGCAGATAGATCCTTTTAGAAAGATGTCAACAAGGGCTGAAACTAAGAAGGTAGTATGGTCAATCTTCAGGGTACACAATATAAAAAAAACTGAATCATCTATTAAATCATTTGTCAACTAAAGAAATTATCCTGTACTTTGATTATTTTTTGAAGGTGTTTATGTTTAAAAAAAAAGGAAGTTCTCATAGGATCAAAAAGATTTTAAAAGAAATAGAGTTAACACAAAATTTCATGGATTAAAAGAATAATTTTGTATTGATTTAACCTCTTTCTCAAGGTGGAAAAATGAAACCATAGTTCAACTTAAAAGTGCATAAAAACAAAATATCCTTGACTACATCTTGACCTCTGTTTCTCACAGTTCTCCAGCTGTGACTAAGAAATGGAAGTAAGAGAAAGACACTCCCTGATTTGTCCTACAGTCTGGATCCTATGGCAGGAGCCAACAGGAAATGGCAGTGATGACAGAGGTTTTGGTTTTTGTCTTCCTCCTCCTCCCTCTAAAGCAAAGATCTTTTCGCTTAGGGAGAAAAACATATGCAAGAATAGAATCCATTATAAGGCTGAAAAAATAAATACATTTTTTGATCATAACTATTAATACTTAACTGTAACTATTAATATAATATGTTTTTCATTTTAATGAAGCAACATGCTACATATGGTCAGGAAAGAGAAAGACAAGTTAAGATCCATAAGCATATTTAAGGTTGCTCTATGAACCCTTAGACCACAGAACTAGTCTGTCTCAATCATAATTTGTGAGTATTACCAGCTATCACATAACTGGAGTCACTAAATTAAAGTTAAACCCTAACTTGGTTTAACTAATCCACTAGGTGGCAAGACCCTAGAAAGGGGTGTCTGTGCACACACGCATGCCTCTCCTTCCCCCCAAGGGGTGGGAGCAAGAGAAATCAAATGCATTTTCAAATAAATCATATGGACAGTTATGCGGTCAAACACTTAACGCAAAATAGATGTAATATGGTCCAAAACACAAACGAGAATGTCAAGGAGGATTTGTTAACTCACAGGTTAGTGGCTTATGAACTGTATGACAGTTTTCTATAAACAGCAGGCTGGTCACATATATCATTAAGTAAATTAAAGATCTCAACTTCAAAAATAGTTTTCTACCTTTATAAAACGTGAAAAATAAAACAAGGAATCACCGAACTACTTAATATCGTGCCCAGGGACAGACAGTAAAAGCTCTTAACAAGAAGACTATCTTCCATGTGCTCCTGAGTCAATCAATAAACAGACACAATTTTAGAATTATGTAAGTTATGTACTATATATCTTCCAACACGTAAGTCACAGGAAAGGCAATTCATGTTTCCAAATTCTTTCAGTTACAATCCTTCACTCACAGATTACTATTACAATTGATTATAACAATGGCATGTTATTCCTCCTAACAAAAGCGTTATCTATCCAAAAGCTGACAGAAATCCAAAATAAAGTAACAGTAACAAATGAAAAATTCCCAATTCCTAGTTATAAAAACTGGTATTTCAAATTTTAAGCCAAGAAAAAAAAACGCTGCTGAATCTTAAATTGAAAAGGTATCCAATTTTCACTTATGGATTAACTATATCTTGTTAACTGCAGCCTTCTCAATCACTACTTACACTTTTGTTACTCAGTATGAAGCACAAGGACACACAAAAAGGCTCTTTTTTTCTTCACACCTTTTTTCATTTCCTTCATAAAAAGAGACCCTTATATCCATTGTGTGGTTGTCCAATTGGAATGCTCCTCTTCCATTATCTCAGACATCACAGCTTCTTACATTGGATTTCAATCAAATTTAAAATGGTAAAGACTGAAATCGGTCATGGAAACACATTAGAAGCTTGATGTTTTCACCCATTAACGATTCTCTAGCTAGTAGTTAGATGGTTTTATAATACACTTCAATACCTTAAGACTCTAACACAAATGTTAATTTTAATTTTGCCTCCCTTTTCTAGTAGGCCTTCGTTGTCCTAAAAAATACTTCGGCTTTTGGAATGTGGGGGTAAAGCGGCAGGCACACGAGCGCCACTGCTAACTTTTACTGACGGGTAAATTACTCAACGAGAAGCCCCATTGTCCCAACATCAGGTGGGTCCCTCCGATTACTACGCGAGGACCCAGGGCCGAAGACGGGGCTCGCCCAACCTGGGGCTCCCGGGCTCCTCCTTCCGCGCCCTAGTCAGCTTTCCCACTGGATCTCAGCCCGTCGTGCAACGCCCGAACCTCCGAGGGTCCCCTCCGGCCCTAGGACAAAACGAACCCTCCCCCGACAGACTCCGCGCTCCGCTCCGTGCGCACCTCCCCGCCCCGGTTCCCCGCCGCCCCTCCCCCACTGCATGCTCCGCCCGCGCGGCCGCCAGAGCCGCCACCCCACCACTCAGCTTCCGCACCTTTACTCCGGGCTGCTCCCGGGCAACGGGCGAACGCCAGCTCTTCCGCCCGCCCACCTTGCTGCCTGCACCCCGGGCCTGCCACTCCCTGAGGAGTCGCCGGGACCCACCTCGAAGAGCTCGGCCGTCGCAGCCATCCCGGCCGGCTGAGAGGCTTGCCTCGCACTGGATGCCGTCTCCTGTTCACATACTGCGCCTCAGCGGCGCCGCGCACAGGTCCCCGCTCGGCTCGCCAGCCCCGGCCCCGGGCTGCCGCGGGCTCCCCTACTCCCCACAGAGCCCAGGCGGAGCGGGAGAGCGGCCATGAAGCGAAGCCGCAGACGCCTGTCAGCTGCCTCCCGGCGCCGCCCGCGCCGCTCCCATTGTCACCGCCTCATACGCCGGAAGTGGAGCTGCGCGCGAGGGTTTGGCTGTCGGGAGGGGCCGGCAAGAGACGCGAGCCACCCGCGAACCGCAGCGAGGCTTGCCTATCGGCGAGTGAGGAACCGTGATCCTTGCGGGCCACCGTCCCGGAAGTGGTTTGAGAGGAAGAAAGCAGTAGATATAAGTAAGTTTCTCGAGATTCTAGGTGCGGATTCGCAGCACTTTTTGTGACATCTGTTTATCAGGAAGGCCTCAAAGCCTTAGTCACTTCACCTGAAGGAGCTAGCTTCTCTGCTGAGCCCGATCTCTGTGTCGTAGGGCAGAAAGTGGCTCAGGATGAGTGAGCCTCGGCTTTGAGAAAGGCCGTCTGCGCTTTTCTCCGTTGGGCAGCTGATGCTTTAGTGGCACATCATGGCCCAACGGGCAGTGTGGCTCTTAAGCCACGAACCTGGAACTCCACTTCGTGGCATCCTCAGATTCTCCAGGTAAATCCAAGTGTGAATCCTCAGAGATGATGCATTGGAGGGATGGATGTAGCATACTTGGTGAGGTTTTCTAATATTAGTATTACTGTATCTTAAAATTACTTTCACCTGTTTAAGATTGATACAGAGATGACGAAAGGAAAGGAAAGAAACTTACTGAGCGCTGAACATGTTTCAAAAATTTCTACTTTAATTAGTAAAGATCGTTTGAGGACATTTTAATTCATTATTCTGGAAACTCCTTGCTGACCAGTATCAGAATGCTGTTTTTATCTTACTATGTTTCATTCTTAGAAATTGTCGGTTTGCTTTAAAATTCCCAGTTGTTGAAAATTGAAAAAGTACAAAAAATTAGGATGTGTCAGTTTTTCTTAGTTGGTGTAAGATGATCTGGTTCCAGTTTAGAATTTGAAGTATTTTATCAAAACAACTCTGTGAAGAAAACTGTACAATAAATAACTCATTGTAAAATGTGGGTGGCAATTGAACAATCTGTTTCACCTTTTATTTTTAGTAGCTGTTGACAGTTTTTGTTTTTGCCAACAAATTCATTCTTCCCCGAGGAAAACTCTGTAGTGAAGTAGCATAACTCTGAATTGAAATTGAGGCAGATAAAGAGTGTGATTTTAAATGAAAAATGGTCAGCATTTTGGGTATGAAAAATTCCCTTTGCTGTCTAATACAATTTTTGTTGCTTGAGGTCACTGGTTTGAGTTTATAATTTTCCCCCGAGATACCTGTTGTTTCCTTGTAGTATGGCAAGTAAGGAGGTTAAAAATATTCTCTATTATGGTTCATCAGTCCCATTGGTCCGTCCAAGGTATCCCACCTTTTACTTGCATCTTCTGCGGGGTATCTTTATTTCTACTATTCTCTCCCCTTCACAGATTCCTCTTACATGTTTATTTCTGAACTTTTATTTGTGTGTTTATGTATGCATTGTTCAGGTTACACAATTAAGTGTGCTATAGATTTCATTCCCTTTTCTCATATTTGTCAGATTTCTCCACACTAGTTTTAAGAAACAGCCATGTTACTGTGTGTTCAACTAGAGCAGCACTGTCCAGTAAAATTTACGCAGTGATGGACATGGGAAATGTTATAAATCTGTGCTGTTTAATATTGTAGTCACTGGCCACATGGAACTGCTGAGCTTTTGATAAGTTTAAATAGCCACATATGGCTAGTGGCTACTATATTGAACAGTGCAAACCTAGGCCATTGCTTCTGCTTGATGCATACTATTCCATGGTTTACATCCTCTACATTTTATGTATTCCCTTACCCTAGTGATGATATCCCAGGTTGCCTACAACCCAGCCATCAGAACAGTGCTGCAGTAGCTATCCTTAAAAGGTCCATGGAGCATATCTGTGCAGATTTTGACTAAATATTGCCAAATAATGAGCTCCTCAGAATACTTTTCACCAGTCCACACTCTCACCAGCAGTGAGCAGGGTTCCTGTATCTCAATTCTTTCCTAATACTCACTCCAGTTTTTGTCTCTATTGATGTAAAGGATCTCTTATTTTCTTTGGGATTTCTCTGCATAGCAATGATTGTTAGCCCTTTGGGTTTTTTCTTCTGTGAATTGCCTGTGCATATCCTTTGTCCATTTTTCCTTTGAGAGTTGCTGGCTTTTTCCTCTTCATTTTCAGAGGCCCATTGTGGATTCTTGTTATTTATTAGTGCTGCATCATTTTTTAGCAATTACACATATTTTCTCTTAATTTATCATTGTTAATCAAGTTTATGTTGTCCTTCGTTAAACAGAAATCACTAATTTCATTATTGCAATCAAAGTAGTTAGTTCCTTGGGGGATTTGTTGAAGTTTTTCCCTGCTCTTATTTCCCAAAGATATCTTTCTCTTATCATTTTATCTATTATATTTAGGTATTTAATCCATCTGTAGTCCGTCTTTGCATGTAGTGTAAATATAGGAATCCTTTTTGTTTTTCTCTATACTGTGGGCCATTTTTCCTGTGTATATTTAATGTATATTTTCTTCATCGATCTGTGGGGTTATTGATAATTGATTATGTCTTTCCACATAAACATTGCTCTATCTCTGTTCTTTTACTTTATTCTTTAGTTCTTGTACCAATACCATACTTTTTATTTGTATCTGTGGCTTTGTTGTTTATCTTAAAATCTCATAGAGGGAATATTTTTTGCTGTTTATAAAAATAAGTTCCCTTGAAGAAGCTGTGCTTGTTTTCGGAATGTTTTTCCTACTGTGCTTAGAATATTTCAGAAGAGAAATTCAGGTATGTTTGGGTGGACTTTTGAACATCTCTTTGGAGGCAACAAGTTGGTTTCAAATTAATTCATCTATCACTCATTAATTCTGTATCATTGAATGAATTAGTTAAATTTTGTGATTTTCAGTTTTCTGACCTGCTGGAGTTGATGTCAGGGCTAAACAGATATGCACTGGTATGTTACCCACATACATGTGAAAGGAACAATGGCTGTCCTTTAAGGTTTAAAAAGACAAATGATCTTTCCTGCATCTGGCTACATTTTCCCCACAGCAAAACTTAGTTTAGATTCTAGTTTAGAGGTTTGCCATCCAGAAAGATAGTAATAGTATCAACTTAAATCTGACTTATTGTATACCCCATAGTAGTAGGGCCATTTAAGGTTTGAGTCCTAATTTAGAAAAGGCCTAGAGTAAATCTGAAATGACAGGTAGAGTCATTCAACAAAACTATTTATTGAGGCATTGTGTAAGTCCCAGATTAGTTTCTTATCTCTACATTCAATCATGAGATTCTTACATTTAAGAGTTTTAGTTATCCTCTAGAGGATAAGATAATGGACTAGAGATTAGTCTAAAGTTCTCAACTGTTATCCAAAGATTCAGAGAAAGGAGTGGCACTCACCTGCTAAACCTTATTAGAATGCTAGCTAATTCTTTTTTATCAAGAAAGTGTATATCAAGAAAGTGTATCAGAATGTAAATGGGTGAGGCTCACTAATACACAGGTAACTTTGAATGCTTCCTATTTTTCTTTTTAAAAATTATTAATAAACATTAATATTTTAGTACTAGTTTTAAATGAAAAAAGTATTTTGGCTGGGTTTATTCTTGATCCCATAAAAACTGTTGATGTGTTCTTTAGCCACCCCTTTATTTTACAAATGAGAAAAATAGACATAGGGAAGTTAGGTGATTTACACAGAAGTTAGTAGCCAATAAATGGCTTTGCTCTGGATTTTGGGGTGGAGAGAGAAGGAGTAAATACATTTCTTTGAACTAAGAAAATGTGATCTAAAATTTCTGTAAAAGAGCAAAATAAAGCATCTTCTATTTATCAAAAATAAGGATGAATTATGCCATTAATAAGAGCATGCAAATCATAAAAGATTATTCAGATTTTATTCTTATTACCTCATAAGGGCCATAGAGATAAACCATTATTACTAAAGTGCTCTTACATGTCATTGTAGGGTTGACAAGACTCAAGGTACCTATTACTCACTATTAGTTGAGTAGAACAGAGCATTCCTTTTTATAATTGTATCACCTCAACTAGTGAATCCAAAATTGTGGAGGATTAAATTGAACTACTTCCTTTAATCTTACTCTACTAAGATGAAGTCAGAAAAATAAAAGGCTTATAGACACCTAAAATTATATATTTTATGTGAAAGTCTCTGAGTGGCCAAAAGACTGGGATTTTGAATTAGAACCATGTGTTCTACCTATTTAAAAAATTAACTAAATAGAACTATTTTCAATAATAGATGATACTTTATCATTTGAGATAATATATCAAATATGCAACAGTTACTATATTAGGAATTTAACATGTAATATAATGCTTTTTTGATTGTAGTGATTGTGAGTGTGTATATATGTTTATTACTGTGTGTTTTGTTATTACTGTTTGCCTTAGGTTTGGGGTTTTTTGTTTTCCAGTTCTTCTGTTTTTATTTTACTTAGAAGAATCATTTATAATGTTTTTGTTTCCATGTTGCAGACGGTATCCAACTGTTGAGAAACGAGCCAGAGTCTTCAATGGAGCAAGTTATGTGCCTATTCCTGAAGATGGTCCCTTTATCAAAGCACTACTCTTCGAACTTAGATTATTGGATGATGATAAGGGCTTTGTGGAGAGTCGTGATAGCTGTTCACACATCAATAAAACGTCTGTCTATGGACTCACAGTAGGAGGTGAAGAACTCTGGCCAGTTGTTGCTTTTCTGAAGAATGGCATGATATATGCCTGTGTTCCACTAGTTGAACAAACTTTATCCCCTCGACCACCATTAATTAGCGTTAGTGGAATTTCACAAGCCTTTGAACTTCTTTTCGGGTTACAGGATTTTCTTCACTCAGGTAAAAAAAATGACACTGAGCTAAATACAAAATTGAGCCAGTTACCTGACTTGCTTCTGCAGGCTTGTCCATTTGGAACTTTGTTAGATGCCAACTTACAGAATTCACTGGATGGTATTAATTTTGCTTCTGTGCCTCATACACAAAAACAGCCAGCTTGGAGAGCTGGAATATACAAAGGAAAACCACAAGTTTCTATTTCTATCACTGAAAAGGTAAAATCCATGCAGTATGGCAAACAGGATATTGCAGATACATGGCAAGTCGTTGGAGCTGTCACTTGCAAGGTGAGATATGTCTGATACTTGTTTGTTCATAGCATTTAACATAACATCTAAGGAGAAAAGTAAAATTTTCTAACTTTATTTCACATTGTTATATGACATTCCTGATTTCTATCATAAATAGTAGTCATTAGATGTTAAATTAATGTGAAATTTTGTGATGTTACCTCTTTGCATTTCTTACTTATTATGTTATTTATTGCTGTGTAATGAATTACCCCATAATTTACTCCAACGATAAACATTTATTATCCTCATGGTGTCTGTGGGGCAGGACTTCAGGAGCCCCTTAGCTGGAAACTTCCAGTATGGACTCTCTCATGAGATCATGGTCCAGCTTTCAGCTGAAGCTGTAGTAACCTAAAAGTTTGATTAGGGCTGGAAATTCTCTTTGCAAGGTGGCTTACCCACATAGCTGGTTATTGGTGGGAGACCTCAGTTCCATTCCATGTGGATTTCTCAAAAGGCTGCTTAAGAATCTCCTAACAACTTGGTGACCAGCTTCTTGTAGATCAAATGATAGAAAGAAAGACAAGGCATAGGTAGAAGCTGTTCTTTTTATTTTCTAGGCTGAGAAGTCAGATAGCATCACTTTTACCACTTTCTCTTCATTAGAAGCAGGTCCCTAAGTCCAGTCCACATTCAAGGACTCTGGAATTAGGCTCCACCTTTTGAAAAGAGTAATGTTGAAGAATTTGAAAAAATATTTTAAAACTATCATACCTGTTTTACATTTTCTCTGAGGGGTGAAATTGACAAATCTCTGACTTAATATCTAAAACTATTTTGAGAGGCTTTTGTTTTATTTCAATAAGTCAGTAGGTTAAAAGCGTTCTCTGGTCTAAGGTTAGGAAAAGAATAGAAATAACAATACCGTTACTAGTGATCAGAGCCATGTTGAATAATGATCAAAAATAAAAACTCTACAAGAACAATTTCTACAAGTGGATATGAATAATATTCTCAGGTGTCTTTATTTTCCTGACATCCTGTTTTATTGAATGTAAATAGTATAACTGTTAGCCAAACATTTTTTAAAATATCTGAAGAGTATTTAAAGGAGTTTCACTGTGATACCTACTGTAAATGAAAATAATTATCTTCATTTTATCATCTTAGTAAAAAACCTGGTGAACCAAAAGCCAACAGATTGAAGTCCTAGTCCTTACTCCACCACCAGTTCTCTGTGTGTCTTTGAAAAAGTCAAACAATTTTTTAGGTCTTTTCTCACTTTTAAAATTGGATAAGGTCCTAGGTCCCTTCTGTTCTTATATTTCTAGTTCAAAGTCCAAATTTACATATACTAAATTGGTTTAAAGGGTAGTATACAGATTTTGTTTAGAATGGATATTTTCATTCTGTAGTAAATGGCTGGTGATGTGGTATTTTAAATATGTAGGTAGCAGATAATTTGTTGGTGGTCTTCATAATAGTTACAATTTTCTGATCCTCATAAGAAAGTTAGACTGCTAGAGGCTAATTTAATAAGTATAAAATCAATTTATTTAAAAATTGTAGTAATATTAATATTTGCTCATTTTATTATCTCCATAGGTATCTGTCAAAAAAGAAAGCTTTTTTGTTCTTGCTAGTTCATATATAGAGAGTGAAGTAATAGATTATTTAAAAGCCGAAACATTAAAATATTTTGAAGTTTGATAGTAAGGTTATTTGGCATTTTTATTTTCAGATGTCATTGACATTGTAACAGTCACTGAAAGAAAGACCTTTATAAGACACTAATTACACATGGTACTGTTCACAATGCCTGCCTGCTTTTCTAAGTGCTTACCTTACATAGCAGATATATATTTTAATTCACACCTATGTCCGGCACTAGATAAAACATAATAGAATGAAACATTTCATTTTAGAATAGAAAACAAAGGTAGGGTCTATAATTAGAAAATTATATTCATTCAGTAAACATTTTTTGAGTATCTCTTGTGCAGGGCAGTATGTAAGCACTGGAAATACAAAATAAAATATAATGATTTTTGCTTTCAAAGAGCTTCAGTCTTTAAGAGGGACATAAATGGGCACAAATACCTAGAGGGCCAACAGTTATTGCATGATGCAGACTGTGTATATAATGAAACTAGCTGCTTTCATTTGGAGCTAAAAGCATTAAACCTGCTGAATTCCACTAACTGAAATGTTCGGGTCTAGCCAAACAGAACATATCAGTAAGCCCTTTATGGCTCAACTGGCTAGTTTTAATTGGATTCTTTAGTAAGGGTAAATGTCAAGTTAGAGTTGAAGTACAAAGGAAGAACCTGACTACCCACACACACACATACATAAGGTGTATCAATTTGATCGAACTCAAAATTTTAACAGCCATTGCAAGATTTATGGAACTAAAGGCATTTAATATGGGAATTAGAGCTTACTTGGCTGAGAAAATCAAAGTCTGTGATCCTCTGGTTGCAGTCTTCGAGAAATAGTCACTAATGACTTCAGTTTGGATACTGGAAGTAGATAGAAACAAGTAGTAGAAACCAGAATTCACAGAAAAGTCTGAGAGGCTGCCATTCTTCTCTGTTACAACCGCCAAGCAGGAATTCATGGAAAGGTCTATGAAAGTGCTGCATCTGGCCACCACAGCCTTAAAAGCAGGAACTTAGAGGAGGATCTCTGAAACTGTCATATCTGGCTTCATGACCTTCCAAAAATATTAGCTTCACAGTTGCAGAGTAGAAAATGATTAAAGAAGTAGGTGGGAGCCAAACAATGTAAGGCTTTAAAAGTAACACAAAACTGAAGGGGAACTATTGAAAGGTCTTGCGTGGATAATAGAATTATGTTACATTAGGAGAACTCTGGAGGATGGTTTAATTAGAGGAAAGAAAATCTAGATATGTTTAGAGAGCTGTGACAGAAATTGTAAGGGCCTGTATCAGTGTGTTTGCAACAGGAATAAAGAGAAGTCAGTGGATTTAAAATAGCTTTTTAACAGTTTTAGATGTAAGCAGAAGGCTGTAGGAGGGCCCTCCTCACCTCTGGCTTGGGTGTCTGGGAACATAATAAAACCATTAGCCAGAAAACAAAAGTAAGGAAAACAATACCTTAAGGAAAAAGTGAGTTAAATCATGGGAAATGACAGATAAATTCAGAAGGCCTCACCCAGAAGATACGTGCTTCTAAATCTTGGTAATGTCTGTTTCCGTTTGTATTGCAGTGTGATTTAGAAGGAATCATGCCAAATGTTACCATCAGCTTGAGTCTCCCAACCAATGGATCTCCACTTCAGGATATTCTAGTTCATCCTTGTGTGACTTCTCTTGATTCTGCCATTCTGACTTCTAGTAGCATTGATGCAATGGATGATTCTGCATTTAGTGGACCTTACAAATTTCCATTCACTCCACCATTAGACTCATTCAGCTTATGCTACTACACTTCCCAGGTAAATACCTTGGATAAATTGAGACTTTGCTAATCTTCATATTTTTGAATTCTGTTGTAAGCAAACCATTCATACTTTTGATCCAAATGAGAACTTTTCATGAGTTATTTACCACATAATAATTGATGAATGAAGGTGAAGATTCAGTTCTTTGAATACGATTCAGTTCTTCTTAGCTCTAGTATCTGTAACACTGAATGATTTTCAAAGTCCTGAGATTTATGTACGTTTTAATGTTCCCTAATAAGGACGCCATGTTCATAGAATAGATCCTGGTATGATTTATTCATTGTTTGAACCATTAACATAAATAACTCTAATCCCAGGCAACTGTGGTCACAAATATGTAATATTTTTAATAGCTATTTATTGCTTATTGAATACCTGCCATGTATCAGACTTTGTCCTGGGTGTTTCACATGTATTTTCTCTAGTACTTTTAAAACCCTTATGTAGGTCTTATCAGCCCCATTTTAAAGATGAGGAGAGTCTCAGAAAAGGTAAATGACTTATATGCATCATATAACTGATAAGTAGGAAAGGCTAGATTTGAACCCAGATTTTCCAGACTCTAAAACTTAACCTTTTTCTACTATACCATTTGTCCTAATTATGAATAACTGGTTTAGAAAAACCTACTCAAGCTAGCTTCAGTTAAGGAAATTTATTTTGTAAATGCAAGAGGCAATCTCTTTGTCAGTGAAGGATAAGAAGTAGAGCCAAGCCATACTGGGACTAGAACCAGAAAATAAAAATTAAGATCACTGCACTCAAGGTCTACACTGTCTGTCTCATCTCTGCTGCTCAGCCTCCTTTTCCATCTGGTTTTTCTCTGCTTGCATGTGACCTGCAGCTTGGGACCTACACTGTATAAGTAGAGTTTTTGTGTTTCTTATTCCAAATGTACCAGAAATGATTGGCTCACTACAGCCTACAGATTGTTCCTCCTTCAATTAGTTATTGATAATCAATTGAGTAACCTACTGATGAGCTAGCAGGCGGGGGAGTCACAAGATAACAAAAGGGCCAGTGGAAATGGCGAGTAAGGTGTCAGTAGTCGGTATGTCTAGTGCATGCCTTGTGTTGTAGGTCACAGAGAATCTGGAGGAAGGGAAGCTGGATGAGCAAAAGTAGTTCAAGAATGCATTGCATATCTTTGTGAGGCATCTTTCTCATCTCTGGAAAGAGAAAGAGACATAGGAATCCTTGCCCTTAGAACAAATGTAGCTCCATCAACTATTCTCAAAACAACTTAGAGTGACCCATTAGTCATTAAAGGTGTACCTGTATATAATGACTATACTACTGCAAGGCTTTTTTCTCGATCATCATTGATATTTTAGACTCATTAACCTGAGAATTATATAAAAATTTGTTTATGTTTGTTTCCAGGTCTCTGTCCCACCAATTTTGGGTTTTTATCAAATGAAAGAGGAAGAAATACAACTAAAAATAACAGTTAATTTAAAACTTCATGAAAGTGTGAAAAATAATTTTGAATTCTGTGAAGTTCACATACCTTTTTACAATAGGTAGGAATAAAATAACCTGATACTACAATTTCTGTCTCCCTTAATACATTCATTCCTACTGCCCTACAATAAATTATTTGCATTTGTTTTTTACCTTATTTTTAAGATCTGAAAACTTCATTTAATTCAAATGAATGCTGATTCTGAATCAAAATGTAATCATAAAAATAATCTCTTTACCTTTAAATGTGTCTTCATTGTTCTAGTTAAATTTGCTGGTAAATACAAACTTAAGCCAATAGCTCCTCAGGGATTATTTCACTCCTGGCTTTATTTCTATCAATTTCTCTGTACTCTACATACATGTCAAACTTAGCAGTTAACCACTTGGTAAATTAAGCCAGTTAGTTATATCTAAAGGTTACTTCTCATCAGTTCTGCTTTTAAATTGTACTACAGCATAGTTCTTTTCAGAGGATACCTAAATATACAGTAAAATCATAGTTTTAGTGTTATGTCAATCCATGTGATTGTATTAATATATTCCATATGATTTTATAGCTGTTTTTAGAATTAATAATGAAAAATTTATCATCAACAAAAATGTTTATTTTGTTCTGGTGTTTTTTTGAGATATATATATATACACTACTCTGTTCTGCAAACTTAAATACAGATCTGCTTTTATGCTACCTTTCTTTTAAGTAACAGTACTAAGATTTGACTCTTAAAATAATTTTATCTGTGATCATTTTTACTTTCTATTTTGTCCTTCTCTGTTTTAAAGAGGTCCAGTTACACATGTGGAATACAAAGTTAGTTTTGGCCAACTTGAAGTATTTCGAGAGAAAAGCTTACTCATCTGGATTATTGGTGAGCTAGGTCTTGTTTATTGATTTTTCTCGCTCCTTTCCTATAGAATCTACTTAATTTAGAATAGCTGATTGGTGTATTTGTGTTTTAGGAACGAAGTTCCCAAAATCAATGGAAATTAGTCTTTCTGGAACTGTAACTTTTGGAGCCAAGAGCCATGAGAAGCAGCCATTTGATCAGATTTGCATTGGAGGTACAACATATTTAAAGGTAAATGTATTTATATGGCTCATTACATTAGAAACCTTTCCTTTGTTTCTAAATTGCATATATCTAATTTATTTTTAATGTGTTTTTAATCTATTTTTGTACTAAGTCCTATTTTAGGTTTTTGTGAGATTCTTTTTGTTTAGCGTAAATCACTTTTATTTCACCTAATAATTTTTAAAAATTTAAAGTGAAACAGGTATAACCTAAACACTTCAACTTAACCTATTTCTACCCAGCTTTTCGTTATACAGTCAAGATTTTTATGCGAAAAAATATAAGATATAGTCCTTACCCTCCAGGCATTGTTCACTGATGCGTGTAATAATTGATCAGTGCTGACTGCTTTTGGTGTTTGAAGGAAAGAGTGAGCACTTCTGACCAAAGTGATCAAGGAAAGCTATGCAGTAGACATGGAGTTTCAGCAAAACTGAGGCCTAGATGAGCATGAGTCTGAAGCCTTGAAGACTGGCTAGGTAAAGAAATGACCTAAGCAAGGAACAAAAAATAATAAGGCATATTTAAGAACCAGTGCTAGAAAACAGCAGTAATACAGAAGGCTGGGTAAGTGATTTAAGCCTAGACTGTAGGTCTGGAGAGTTTCTAGCTTCTTTTCCTTTGTTAGAGTAGGGGGAGTAGTCTTTCAGAAAGCAGTATTTTATGAAGATCAATCTGGAATGAATGGGAGAAAGGTGAGTGAAAAAAATTAGAGACAAAGGACCTGTTGTTTAGCTATATCTGTATTCCAGATGAAAGGTAACAGTGATGCTGAGAAAGTATAGTGTCACAAAAAGAGAAAGGTAGGGATAAAAAGGAAGAGAGAGTTCCTAAGAGCAGTAATAAAGTTAAAGCCTTGATCACTAAATACAGGCATTGCAATCCACATAGAAGCAATTTGGAGAAATGGTAGTGGATTCAAAAGTACACTAGTAATCTTCATTTCTTCTATCTTGGTTTCAACTATGTTCACAAACTTTGTTTCAGGGTTATAAAATTCCTATTTCCAGATACGTTTCAGAAAAAATTTGGTATGTTAACTGTGCCATATGTCTTTCAAAGGTAGGAATTATGACTTCTATTCATTTCCATCACTTAACCAGTTAGTCTCATCAGAAGCATGTAATATATATTTGGGTTCACTGAACAGATATAGTTTTTAATATCTAGTTATGCAGAAATCAACCTTATAACTCCTAGCATCCAGAATTATACCAAACAAGAAAGGAACAGCACTTTACTATTGGAGATAATTTGAGTTGCAACAGGAAAGAAATGACCGAGAGAATCTGAAAATTACATTCTATGCATGAGATCAATTAGTTTCTCAGAAGGAAAAAGTTAGGAAATGGGAGAAATTTGCAGTGAAGGCTGATGGAAAAAAGTATAGAAAAGGTATCAGGATGTTGCAAAATCAGGAGCTTTTAGCAGCAAAGATGAGAACCACAGCAAATGAGACTGGAGCTCCATAAGACACCGACCTTTCATAGTTCACAAGATTATCTCTGTGACCCAGGACACCCCAGTGCTATGCCTTCTGAGAAGGTACCTCTGTTATAGCAATATTATTGGCATTTATACCGATGATGCCACATTACCAATTAAATTCAGAAACTATGGATTACGTTTTAGAAAGGTTTTATAGGTAAGAGAGGAGGTAATTTCTAAGTTCAGTGTTGTAAAAGTTAAATTTCAGTTTTCTGGAAAATTAAGTAGAACATCTCATTCCCTCCAAATCCCAGATAAACTGGTATTTGTTTTAGTAATTGTACTCTTGTGTTTTGCTGTAAGTTGCATCTGAAATATATCACAACCAGTATATAAAACAGCAGACACTTAGGGGAAGGAGCACCAGCTTTTGCAGTCAGTCAGGTAAGAGTTCAGATGCCAGCTCTGCTACTTACATTCTGGGTACTAATTGCTTCATCTGTGAACCTCAGTTCCCTTGTTTGTGAAATAGGGATACCTTACAGTATTGATTAGAGTTCATATTAGCGACATGCCTGGTGTGTGTCAGGTACTTCATAATGGCAACATTTCAAAGAAATGGCCTAATGCAAAGGGGAAGTTACATGTGTATATGCGAGTATATCTGCACAAACACACACACACAATATTCAAGTTTAATACTTCTGGGTTTTATTTTGAGAACTGTGTGAAGTAAATTCCTAAAATTGTGTTAAGAATAAAAATGTGACTATCATTTTTACCAAATAATCACCTCAGTTTGGTTCTTTTATCCTGCTTTTCTAGCTTCATTTTAGGATCTTAGATTACACCCTCACAGGGTGTTATGCAGATCAGCATTCAGTTCAAGTTTTTGCATCAGGAAAACCAAAAATAAATACACGTAAGTTGTACAGATTCTAACTAAAAATGGTGGGAATTAAAATGGTGTAATGCAGTTATTACCTAAGGCAAGATTAAAATATAACAGAAAGAAATCAGAGAGCAATCCCAGTTTATAAAATTCTGGCCTGATCCTCTTCTGTATAGTGAGTGATTTGTGTACTTTACACTGCCCTCTGCTTTCTCCTGTTTGTAAAATAGTCTGGGTGAGCAAAGATTGGCATAGAGCTGGGCTTTAGTGTAAAGTTGGATTCATTTTGCTGTGGTTATAATATAACCAGAGGTTGTTCACAGGGGCTTTGGTGTTGGACAGGCAGGGTTTGAATCTGGCTCAGACCATTTATTATCTGTGTAACTTTGGGCAAGTTAGTGAACTTTGTGAAGTTTTAGTTTCTCATCTGTAAAATGGAAATAATAGTATTGTTTACCTCAGGATTATTATTAAGTTTAAATAAAATGTATTGACCAAGCACTTAGCATGTTGTGTACCATGTAATGTGGATTCAATAAATGTTAGATATGATTATTATTTAAAATTTTTAATATTTTTTGTAAATGTTAGAGTCAATGAACATTATTTAGCACCCTCTATATTTTACAAATAGGAGGACAATTGAAAGGTTTCCTGCCTTCAGTGGTTTGTTGGTTGTAAATAAACATATATAGTATATGGAAATACAGAAACACAAAAAGCAACTTATAAATGAATTCAAAATTACTTAATTCAGATCAAATACATATCTGGTATAGAATAGAAAAGTAGCTAGAATGAGGTAGAGTTAACTAAAAGTAAACAGAAACCCTTTGCCTCATATATTAAAGAGAATAAAGCTATTATATTTAGTAAGTATTTCTTAAACTAAGGATTAGGGTCCCTAAAATAGGTAGAATAGGACAGAATTTTGTACTTAGAAGTTTCAAAAGAATTTAGAACTCATAACTACAAAATTCTAAGCAATTATGTGTGAAGGGCCATACTAAATTCTTACATAATGAAACCAGAATAAGCCACAGTCCTCCCAGTGCTTTCCCTGTGTTTTCTCCTACATCACTTTTTGGTTGTTTTTAGAGAAATGTATATACATGGAAGAATCTTCATAATTTTTTTTTAATGAAAGCATAATATAGTTATGTTAATTTGGACAAACCACTGGTTTTGTCTAAATGCATACAGACCAGATAACCTATGGGAAATAGGTTATCTCTTTAAATAATGGCTAAAATATGTTTAAGTATCTTATGAATAGTAACTAAACACATTATAGTAATTCTCAGAGAACATAATAGAGGATGGGACATAGCAGTAAAATATATTGAATGAAAGAGGTCATTTCAAATGGATAACTGAGCAGTCTTTTACTTCCTTCCTCTGTTGGTTTCAGAACATGACTACCACTTTGTGCAACTATGTAAGATTTTTATTTTGCTGTCATCTTGGCAATAAAAATCTATATTCACAATATACAACTTTTTAGTTCTGAAAATAGTTTAGTAATGCTAATAATAATGTTAATTTAAATAATAATAGCTAACATTTATTGCTTACTTTGTGCCAGGCACAGTTTTAAGTATTTTATGTGGGTTAACTCACTAATCCTCACAGCACCCTGTGTAAGTGTTGTTATCTCCATTTGCAGATGAGGATGCTGACAGCACAAAGAGGTTAGGGTCACATAGCTAGTAAATGGCAGAACTGGGAATCAAACCCAAGCAGTCTGGCTCTGGAGCCTGCCCACTTAACCAGTATGCAATGTTGCCTCACGATGTTACTAGATTCTCAAACTGGTGGGGAGGGGGAAAGGTAACAAGGTAATATATCCTATCTGTATCCTTCACCTCATGAAGAAGAAAGGTAAAAAGACAGAATTGGATATTTAAAGTTACATGTAATAATAAGAATTTACATATGTTTAGCTCCAAATGAGCATTATCTCAGTTTTATGTACCAGAAAACTTCAGTTCAAAGACATTGTCATTTGTCCAAAGCTATAAAGCTATTAAACAGAAAACTTAAATTTGATCAGAACTGTAAGAAAACACTGAAACAAACTTTTAAAAACATTACTAGAAACTGGGGTGTTTATTTCTGTCTCTGAAACTTTGAGTAAAGAATAGCAAGATAAGAATCAGAACTGTGGTGAAGAGGTAACAAAAGGCAAACAAATTTTAAAAAACTACTTTTATAGTTGAAATAATGGTCTATAAGAAATAGAATTTAGGGAAAATGTGAGGAGAAAATTGGCAGATTTGTCATAAATGAAGGATAGGGCACAAAGTGGTATGAATAAGCTCAAAGATGACTGTTTAAATATTTAATGAGCCCATATTTTTAAAGTGGTAAAAGTTATAATAATGCCTTAGTAAAATCAAATTAAAATAACGTTTGAAAGTATTGCCTTCCTTGAAATAATTGTGTTTTACAATTTAAAAATATCATGACTTTGCTCTTACTGAATTTTTGTTAAACTTATATAGTCTTATTATTTTGTTTGTTTTAGGCCGGGAACTAATTTCTTCTGACTATTACATCTGGAATTCCAAAGCTCCTGCTCCAGTAACATATGGATCTTTATTACTGTAATCACCTCATGTTTAAATGGCACTATTACAATGGTAACATAGCTTAAATTAAATTATAGTCTTTTAATATGTATACTTATAACCTCTGGGGAAAAAATCATTGAATAATTTAATTATAAAATGCTCTTTAATGTTTTTAGTCTGACATAATTTGAAAGAACTTTTTAAAGACTGATATCTCCAATTCTGTTACCCTTTGATTTTACACAACTATGATTCCAAGCATAAAACAGTACTGATTGACTGTAGGCTTGTTTTAGACTAGTCTTGGGTCATCCTGCCATACTTGTTCTTTCCTGCTTCTGTGGCAGACATGGCTAATCAGTCATGGCCCTTTTTCACCACTGAGCCTTTCTGGATATGGGCTCAGGCTTCTTCTCAATGCAGACATACAAACAGCTACTCCCAATGGATTAGAGATAACATGCAATAGAAAAAAACTCTTCGTTCTTCCAAACGTTAGTGCTAAGCTCCTAGTACAACATGTTATTACAGAATACCAGCCAACTAACTACATAGGAAACAATTGAAAATCTCTTTAAAAAATAGCTAATATGAAGAAAATTTGTTTAAATAGTAGCTTGTTCTTAATCAGAACTGCCATATTAACTAATAAAGAATCTGTATAATTCTATTTAAGGTGTTTATCTCTGTTCTAGAGTTACTTTTCAGGTAAGCTTATTAATCTGCCACAAAAATATTTTACTTAGGATGTCAGTAAGCACACTGAGAGGGATAGGATACCTTCAGAAGGTGAGCAGTGTTTTGTGATTACTTAGTATCTACAGCCAAATTTTCAAACGTAAAGCTAGGTATAATTGCTTTTCTCATGTTGTGTTATATTAAAATTTATTAATGAATTCAAGTAAAAATTCGAAAGCTATTCTGTGGGTAGGGAGTATCATTTAATCTTATTTTTCAGTCTCATGTAGCATATTTTCTTTAAATTTGTCACTCTTACTTCCTTATTAGCATTCTCTTGGTTTCTTCAGGAACCATCCAGTCATACTTTTTATTCTCCGCCTGTCTTTACAATTATATTTCTTTCTGGTTCAAAACAGTTCTCATTGTCAAATTGGACTTGAGTATTCAACAAAGATGAAATCTCAAGTTCTTCAAAGCTCAATCCATGTTGTTTCTTTTTACAGAACAGAATTAGAAGCATTATAAAAATGTATATTACAGATTAATATTCAATTAAATTCTTTCGGTTTCTCAGAAAACCTTAGAGAAAGCTGCTAACTCTTCAGGAAAGCTATGATAGTTTGAAGAGATATTGCATATAAATTCAGGATTTGAAATAGATTTTTTAATTAAGGTCAATTGTACTCATTATAAGTTTTCACCTTCTGCAAGGCATAATGTTCTATGTCCAAAATTATCCCAAGGAACAAAGAAAACAGAATAAAACTACCTGACCAGGACTTTAACTTGTTATTCTAGCTTAATCATAGATAATCAGGAGTAAAAACTACCCTTCTGAAAAAATGAAAAAAATCATTCCCTTAAAGTTATTGGTTTCTCTTAAAAATCAAGGAAAGTTTAACATTTAATTTATGTTAATTTTAATCCAGCCATTGGGACACTTGATTGTCTAAATGTTTGGCAAGGTACACTAAGAATGCAAAAGGCATTTATCTAGTGAGTAGGCAGAGGTTCAGTGTAACAGTCACCTAGGGAAACTTTCTTCATAAACAGTTAGGAAAACCAGTGAGTCTTTGGACTTCTTAGAAACCTGAGGAAAATCTAGGGAGTCCTGGAAAAGTTCAGGGACGAAGGAGAACCTGATGCCATCTGTTGCCATTCGTCCGAACATAATGTTACAGAACTAAAACCAACTTCTGTTTTCATCCCCATGAGATCAGCTGGGCACACTATGTTGCTTTTGATTTTGTCTACAAACCTGTCACTTCAGGATAATTTCTGAAGACAAAGTCCGTTTCCCGTTTGGTAGGTGACCTGTTTTAATGTTTTCCCTGTGTCTGGGAACTCCTTAGTGTAATTAGCGACCTTTGAACTCCACAACTAATCCTGAGCTATTTTGTATTCCTTACTCATCTTTAAGGCTGGACCTTTCTTTTCTTCTGAGTCTGCTGCCACAATTAAAGAAGAAACAGCTGCATTTCAAAGGGATTCCGATTCCAGAAGCTTAATCGTGATTGACATGTTCTTATTCTAAGCTGTAAGACACTCTTAGGGTCCTTTCTTGGGTTAAAACTTCAATCATTTTCTAAAAAATTATCTCACTATGGATTTCATTCATTTTCTTTGATAACAATTATTTACATTTTTTTAACTTGAAAGATGCTTTGCATTTGCAGTGAATATGAGCATCAGCACCTACTTCCAGTTAAAGATATGGATGGTGTCAGACTACTCTAGATGCAAAATTGCTAAATTCCCTTTTAGTGTCAAAATATGATTATGAAATCTGATGTCTATCATATGGGTAATTATCCTTCAGTAGGCCCAGAAGGAACAAAAAGTGTTAAATTTCCAAAAATATACTCTAGAAAAAAATGGCTCATGATTTTGATAAAACCCATCTTTTCTTCTTTTATAAATAATATTTTTAAATATTTCAAACTTTTCAAAGCCAGCAACACTAACAGTGTAAAGCAGTACCCCACCCCTTACAGCGGTATGCATTGTTTACTTTTTAAATAATCAATTCAAATGTCAGATTTGAAGTAAGTAGCCTCATCAGGGATTCTTAAGGGAATCATTTAAAATATTTTCTTGATTAAACGTTAGTCTTAAAATTTAATTTTTTCACACCAACTCAGTATTTCTAGTGAGTTAAAATTATTGTGGTTTTATATATTGTATGACACCCATTATATTTCAAAGCACAATTTTTTATACATAATAACAACTGCTAATATTGTTCCCCTATTTTTTATTCTAGTATTTCAAACTACTTTGTAGACAGTCATAGACTCCTGCATCGCCCCTGGGAGATAGGTAGGTCGAGTTATCATTCAGAGCCTCTGTGGGGATGGCTGCCAAAGCAGAACGGTTGTTCCTAAGACAAAGGTCAGAAAAGGGTTGTTAATCAACAGTCCTCAGGTTTAAGGGACTTTTTTAGGATTACATCTTAAATTCCAACAAATCAGATTTAGGAGTTACTGAAAGTGAAATTGATCCATCCCTCATCCAAACTTTGCAATACTTTCCTGTTCTGACATCATTTAGATAGTTAGCTGTATTATCAGATTAGAAACCATTGTACCAGGCTGCTGAAAGGAAAAGGAGGCAAAAAGCTAAACATGGGATGAATTCTGAACCTTTTAACCTGGCTGAAGTACGTTGCTCCCTGTTATGCAAATACTTTCAATCCTCTGCTAAGTTCAGTGGAAATAATTTTCTTGAATGACAGGTTTATTCAGCAAGGATTCAGTTGGTGATTAATCCCCCTTTGATCTAGGGTATTTCACTTAACTACCAGTTACCTCGTTCTGACAAAGTGCAACTGAGATTAGGGAGATCACTAGAATACTACCAGGGTGTGCGTTTATTCTCTCTAACCTTTTAAAGCAAGGGCCAAGAATGTAATTTATTTTCAGTATTTGAAGATGTAAAGTCTTGTCTGCTAAGTTAGAAAGTCAATTGAATACTAAATGAAGTTTATTTCTTACGTAATAGAACAAACATTTCTTTTTGCTTTGCCTAACAATGATTTTAGGAAAACACAGGCTTTGAAGAAAGAAGAAACAAAGACTATATTCTAAGCATGTCTTCCAGTTACGTGTAGTAGAGTGTATACTTATTGGCCCTGCAGTGGTTACAACTTAGGTTGAGAAAATGCTTCCATTTTATTAAACTGCAAGGTTTCTACCAGCCCTCCTGCCCCCATTAAAAAATGCCATGCTATGTGGTTAAGATCCAACTGGGGAAAGCAAGTTGTAATACACAATTATTCACCTTAAGACTTCTGATTCCAAAGCTTTACTTGTTAACTTAGTCCTTTTGTGAGCAAAAGCAGCTTGTTCTGTTACCATAAGAATAATTGCATTCATTTTCAGAATTTTTTTTTATCAAGTAAAGGATGCCATGCAAAAATAACTTCAAAGTGTTTCAAATTTCAGGATAACTGTCTTCCACAGTATTATTAGTCCTACTTTTTCTGCCTTTTTCTCATCTAACTTTGGGTACTCTCTTCTATAACTTTAAAGTTTAAAGTATTCTATGGATTTTTATGCAGTATTTTAAGAATAAAATTTTAAGATGTGTCTCATGTTAGCTTTCTCAAATAATTCACTTTTTAAAACAATGTCTTTGTCAACATTTTATCCAGCAAGATGTGAAATTAGGGGATTTTATTCCTCAAGTGTATTTTAATACCCTAAAAAAAGAAACATAATGATTTGTAACAAAATTTGTTTTTAAATGTTAGATCATTATTAGTGATTAATTTTATTATTAGTGATGAAGTCTCTTAAAAATGCTTTGTAACTGTTCTTTATTCTGCAGTTTGCAATTCAGATTGTGTATGTTGATAGTTTTCTCTAACATTTTGGCTCAAACTTTTTGTGATGCAGTTTCTAAATTGAAACAATAACTCAAAGAAGTGCATGTTTCCCTCATTTTAGTGCCAAACCAGCCTCTCTAGTTTAGAAAACAAACTGTTTCTAAACATCTTCTGATAGCAAGTTACTTAACTGCAGCAAAATTGAGGTTCAAAAGTATGTAAGATGGAAGGCAGGGTCCCCTGTCTATGTTGCTAAAAACTATTATTTTTGATAATTGACTACTCTATGTAGTAAATATTTAGTTAATAAAGTATTATATTTTGAAATAATGCCATCGGAGAAAGAATCTATATAAAACATGCATGTGTATGGATTTATGTAATATAGCATGTCTGACTTAGTGGGTTTTCCTATGCAGTGCTTGAGTATCATGTCAGAGGAAGAATAATATTTAAAGCCAAATATTCAAATATCTTACTTCCAAACACAGTTATTAGTAATGAGGTTCATTAAAATAAAAATTGCCAAAGAACTTGTGATATTACTTTTATAAAATGGTTAAAAACTCTTATATGAGTTAACACAACTAATCTCTAATTTTTTTCATCAGTTGTTTTGTAGATACAGTAATATTATTGTCCATAGATAGCCTGGAGCAGTGCAATGCCTTATCTGTATTATTAGTTAAATGCATTGTAAGCAGGTTACTCTGAGGCCCAGGTTGATTTCTCTATGGCTCTAGCTAATCTGTATAATTGTTGGCAGTGTGGTACTAATGTATGATGTACTGCATTTACAGACTGATGGATGGATGCCCTGGGATAGAAACCACCTGCTGAATTGTTCTTACGAAGATTCATTTAAATAATCCATCAAACATTTAAAGTCAAACAGTTTTCTTTAAATGTCTTCTTTTTAAGTGGTAGTTTCTGTAAAAAATATGATTGTTTCATTGACACACTACTACTAATAATAATGAAAAATAAAATACTGTTATCCCTCTTAAAATTTTTGCTTTTCTTTCAAGGGACTGGAGTGCCCTCTGCAGGTTATAAAGAGAAAAATAATGACTTTATTTTTAAACCCTGTGATTTTTCCCTCTTAGAAGCATAGCCTGGGTGTGATCCATTGTATTTATATTGTTAACTTTGTTAATTTTCCAGTGGTTGAAGCAAGAGTTTCTTTCCTTTGCCAGTTTTGTAGTTGTGTTTAGTGGGAATCATGTAATACCACTGAGTTTTCCAGATCAATTAACCTGGATCTCTTTAAATGCTGTAACCAATATACAGCCCCTCACAGAAAGGAGATTGGGAAAACATTCAGCTATTTTGAAATTTAGTAGAGAATATCTTATTTCCTATTGCAATTTTAGAATATGATATACTTGAAATAAGCCTCTTTCAAAATGCATCATGTAAAATTTAAAAGTCACGTAAGAGTTCAATTTCTTGACCTTGTTGATGAATGATGATTATGTTCAAGTTAAAAAACAAGGCTTCTTAGAATTTCTTTAAACAAAATTAGGATTAAACATAATACTTTGGTATTGTTGCATAGATCTACTAACTAGAAAGAATATTTCTGTTTGACGAGCAAAAGGCAGGTTTCATATCTGAGTCACTCATTTCAGTGTACCCATACTTTCTCAACAGGGATACAGATTTGTTTCTAAAGGATATAGGAGTTCTTTTTAAAACAACAGAACTGAAGCGCCAGTGGCACTTCTGATTCACTTAAAACTGCCAGGGAAGGTAAATATGGTGAGAACAAGAATGCCTGGATCAAATTAATAGAAGTAGATCTTTTTGCAAGCATCCTAATGATCCTGATCATCAACCTTGAAAAGTAAATTAGGACAAGCAAATTGCTGTTGAAAAATTCTTTCAGCACTCCGCTGTTGCTACTCAGCTAGTCATGGCTCAGCCAGAGGCAAAGAAAAAATGCACCCAGTTTTGCAGCAACAAAGGAAACATTATTAAAGTGAATGTTTACATTGTGTTTATTGAAATGTTCAAAGAATATTGTTGCCTCTTCAACCTGCTGTTCTCCCAACTATTACGGTGCATGAGTGACAATAAAAATGAGTTGTGTACATTTTAGAAAAATAAATGACACTTAAGTGTTTCTGAACTATCTTCAAAATATTTATCAGATTAATACTTTCTCTTTTAAAGATTTTTGTCTCTAGGAAATGTCCATTAAAAAAAGGATTCATGTGCTTGAATTACTTCTAATTACAACTGCTTAAGTGTCTTTCCTTCCAGAAACTACAGTACAGAAGGAATAACATGCTGAAAATAATAAAAAATTGAAAAAAATCGTGAAATTACTGAAGTAAGTGTGTAATTGAATATGTAATATGTTCATTGGAGAAATAGCTTGGTAATTGTGAGGGTTTTTTGAGCTACAGTTATCTTGAAGTACTTCTTAAAAAATAAATCGAGAATAGACAAGACAGCAGTTGAAAACAGGCATGCCAGTCTGATGTTTCAAAATTTAAGAAGTACTATATGAAAAAAAAAAGTACTATATGTACTAATATAATAGTACGAAAGTCAGTAATGACAAAGTCAGAAGTAATTTTAGCTTTCACCTGTCTAAAATGAGCAATTTAAATCACTTCTATATTTTGGAAATAGGAGAAATACAGTATTTAACACATTACAGGTCCCATATTTTACTTGGTATCTCAGCAGGTGCTATTGAATACAGTTGAGTATTTGGCGGTTTCTTATGGACTGACTAATTTTTGAAGAACTGTTTTCTTAAATTCACCAACTGGACAAGTTGTCAGTCTCCCACAGTTCAGCCTAAAAATCTTATTGTTACAGTTAGCAAAGATTATTAGCCCATGCTATAGGCTCTTAAGAACCTATATTTTTTTTTTACCTATCACTTCCATAACACATACATCTACATATTAATACATCATATATGTATTACTTTAAAGTTCAGAATTGATAAAAGCTTTTTGAAAGTTACCAGTCACTGTATAGAAGTTTATATTTAAAATGAATATTTAACATTTTCCCAAGGAATTGCAATCTTTGTCCATATTCTAAAAAATGAAAATGTTTAAATTTAAAATAAAACAAATGCCAAGTTTCTTAACTGTACTTTTGCTAAGAAAATAACCAAGAGAAGTGCTTAATAATGTTTATAGCTTGTTAATAGCAGCAAGAGGACTTTTAAAATGTGGACATCAGTGCCTTCATGGCCATAAAATGTATTTCTCTCAAAATAGCACAGTCATTTTATTCATTATGAAAGGCCTAATTGAATACAAGGTATGACTTAAAAACTTGAGTACATCTAGTTGAAATGGAGACTTCAGCAATAAAAACTAGTAATTAATTTTAAACATTTATTGTGCTCCTCTTATATGCCTTGCCAGATCTAGACACAAAGACAAATAGTACCTGATTTTGAATGATACATTATAACTTCTCCAACTTACTAGCATTGTAATATGGAAGATTATTTCCATATACTGTTAATACAGAATTGTCCAAAGGTGATGGTTATAGTTCACCAAGAAGAAGAAAGAAGGGCATCCTAGAGGCAACATTGTATCTGAAGGTCTATCACTCTAACAAACATAATCCCAGAAACCTGAACGTCTGATGTAGTAAGTATATACATATAAGGAAATATTTTTTGCTTCCAAATGGTTGAGATTTGGATATGTAGACATATATAAATTTCTAAGGAAAGTAATTATTTTTGTATTTAATTCCCACCCTACTATGCATACAAATGGAAGAGCACTTCTGCATACTAAACATACAGTCCCAACTGTGTCCCCTTTCAGCCTGCCTTCCTCAATAATTTTGAATGCATGTTCACATATGCTAGTTGGAATTTACCTCTGCATTATCAATGAAAATATAAGATATATAAACAGGATTATAAAGAAAATAAGTGAAAAATTCTTAAATTATGTTTGGTGCTAATATATGTTATACTTAAGTCAATTACAAGCTAAAGTTTGCTTTAGGATAGATCACATACAGTAGAACTACCTTGGAACACATCGTTAGTCTTCGTTTGAATATATATATCCATGCAAATGTGTGTAAGTAAAACAAGAAAAATGTAAGCTGTAGAGCACCAGTCTCATTGTTTTGAAAATCTTTTCCATCTCCCATACCAATATTTTGAACTTCTTGAGGAAAATGACACTCATCTTCATATCATTGTATTCCCAGTGCCACCAGAAACATAAAGCTTAGTCTTGATTCAGCAAAGTAGCAAATGTTAAATATGTAATAAAACCGATTGTGGGGAGGGAGAAGGAGATTGAGGGGTACTATGATTAGTACACATGGTATTGGGGGGAGGATCACGGGGAAGACAGCATAGCACAGAGAGGACAAGTAGTGACTGTGGCATCCTACTACACTGATGGACAGGGACTTCAATGGGGCATGGGAGGGGACTTGATAATGTGGGGGAATGTAATAACTACAATGTTTTTCATGTGAGACCATAAGATATCAATGATACCTTAATAAATTTATATATACATACATATAATACATACAAGTAAAAAATAAAACTGTGTCATCCCATCTAAAACAATAATGTTTTGAGTGATTATGGTTTTGCATATGGGTATAAAAAGTTTGTTGTGCAAACAGTGGTTTGCCCTGTGATTGCCATCTCTAGCAGTACTGAGACAATTTGTGACCATTTATGGCCCATCTCTTCAAACAGGCTGTGCAGAGATTTGGCTCAACCTTTTAGACTAGCAACAGCTGAGGCCTGCAGTTGCTGCCCATCATGGGATGCGTTTTTGCAGTTATGCTTCAGTGAACCTTAAAGCACTGGGCATTCCCATCTTAGAAATTCCCTTCTAGGCCTCTCTACAATGGCTTGTGAGCTCCCCACTATTCACCAGGGTTGGTTGTGGTTTTTGTTCAGTATAATATGGCCTGATAATGCTGTGACTCTCCTTGCTTCATAAAGCCACAGCTTTCAGTGATTCCCATAAATTGATGAAATAAGTTGGCCTGCATTCAAGAATTCTAAGTGACTATTTTTAACATTCCATTAACCATAAAGGCAGAGTAGTGTAGAGGAAATATACAGTCTTTGAAACCATAAGGCCTGATGTATAATCCCAGCTCTACCAATTACAAGCTGGGTGGTCCTGGATAAATTACTTAACCTCTGTGGTCTTCACCTTCCTCCTAGCTTCATAGGGTTATTGTGAGCATTGATCGATACCAAATTCTAAGTGCATAGGTATTCAACCAATGTTCATTCCCTTCTACATCAAAGATGAAGAAGGGCCTTTCCATGCAACTGTCTGTGCCTATAATTAGATGTTATGCGTTGATTATTGAAATTATATGAATTGTCCACTTGGTCTTGGTTTTGAATGTTCAGCTGATTATTATATTGCAGAAATGCCTACTCTATTGCCTCAATAGATCCTTGTAGTTAATGGTTGCAGAATTGAGTGGGTTAAGTGTTTTATAAAGTTTGCTAACATTTAACGATTCCTATTAAGGTTTGAAAAGAAGTTAATTCTACCAAAAGTGGGATTGACTGAAAATAAATGTCATCCACAGGAACACTGAAGAAATGCAATAATAACCCAAACTATTAATAGAGTTTAACTTCTGGAAGTCTTTTGTCCAAGATTTAGTCTATGCCATTCATAACTATTGCTATGGAAGTCATTTCTTCCTGAGATGAACCACTGATTAAGCCTGAGTTTTATGTCTGGTGAGGAAATAAATACATTCAGAGTATTCTGACAGTATATTTATGTAATATACTATTCTAGGCTCTAGGGAGAAAAATGTAAAGATTAAGTGCTTGCTTTCCCAGAATTTACAGTCTGAAAGATACAGAAATGCTTTAAATACTAGCTGTTATAACCTGGATTTTCTTGAGATATTTTTGTTCTAAAGTTAATAGAAAAATACTGATTTAGTTAACACAATTTTTTAAAATGTTAGATTGCTTGATTTACTGATTAAATGAAACAATTTGAATTG